GAAAGACAATGGGGAGAGGAAGGGTGGAGGGCACTAGCAGACACTTTTCCCCATCAAAAGAGCCAGACACAGCTCAGCCCTGCTGCCCATGGTCACATGGAAATGCCGCGTTGGTGCCTCTTAAAACAATTCTGACTTCCTAAGAAAACTGGACATCCAGACTGTAAACAATCCCCAGACCGTAAAGCCCTGTGTGTGCCCCTGAAACACACATCTGCGGAGCACACCTGGCCTGTGGCCATCAGTTTATCCACCCTTTCACAGGGCAGCAGCATGGCCCATGGGGCCGTCCCAGCTTACCATAGCAGAGGGTGCAACGAGCCAGGTGCTCCACATCCTCCTCCTGCTGCTCCGTCTCCCTCACAAACAAGCACAATCTGCTCACTCCACCCATCTAATCCCAACACAAATTCAAGCTATAGTTAGCTGGATTAAATTTCACGTCATGTCCTTCCAATTCAGATGAGAAAGCGTTAATGTGGAGGCAGGCGTGGTGATGCATACGTGTGATCCCAGCACTGGGAGACTGAGGCTGGAGGATTGAGAGTTTGAGACCAGCCTGGGCTAGATCTCAGGCCCACTCTCAAAAACTATAAAGAGAAAGAAGGAAGGAAGGGAGAGAGGAGTGGAGGGAGGGAGGGAGTGGGAGAGAGGAACAGTAATGTAGTATTTTTAAAGAATTCATAATTACAGGACTGGAGTGTACCTCCAGTGATAGAGTGATAGAGCACTTGCCTAGAATGCATGTGGCCCTGGACTCAATCCTCAGTACCACACAAAAAAAGAATTCCTTAAATATACACATGTGAATAATTGACTATTATATAATAGTTATTTATGTAGCCTTTTATTACCCTAGTTCTAGTCTGGAGACTGGACTACCATTAGTGCAGGTACGTGAACCATGGATCTTCAGACTCCCAGGGTACATAAAACTCGGTCAATGCTAAGACATGAGGGCTCAAGCATTTATTACACATGAAAAAATGCTCACCATCTGTAGCAATAAAGGAAATGCCAATTAAAACCACCGCTAAGATTCCACCTCACCTGTTAGAATAGCCATCATTAGCAACACCACCAGCAACAGGTGTTGGCGAGGATGCGGGGAAAAAGGAACCCTCTTACACTGCTGGTGGGAATGTAAACTAGTACAACCACTCTGGAAAAAAATTTGGAGGCTACTTAAAAAGCTAAACATTGATCTACCATTTGATCCAGCAATACCACTCTTGGGGATATACCCAAAAGACTGTGACACAGGTTACTCCAGAGGCACCTGCACACCCATGTTTATTGCGGCACTATTCACAATAGCCAAGTTATGGAAACAGCCAAGATGCCTCACCACTGACGAATGGATTAAGAAAATGTGGTATCTATACACAATGGAATTTTATGCAGCCATGAAGAAGAATGAAATGTTATCATTCGCTGGTAAATGGATGGAATTGGAGAACATTATTCTGAGTGAGGTTAGCCTGGCCCAAAAGACCAAAAATCGTATGTTCTCCCTCATATGTGGACATTAGATCAAGGGCAAACACAACAAGGGGATTGGACTTTGAGCACATGATAAAAGTGAGAGCACACAAGGAAGGGGTGAGGATAGGTAAGACACCTAAAAAATTAGCTAGCATTTGGTGCCCTTAACACAGAGAAACTAAAGCAGATACCTTAAAAGTAACTGAGGCCAATAGGAAAAGGGAACCAGGAACTAGAGAAAAGGTTAGATCAAGAAGATTAACCTAAAAGGTAACACACATGCACAGGAAATTAATGTGAGTCAACTCCCTGTAAAGCTATCTTTATCTCAACCAGCAAAAACCCTTGTTCCTTCCTATTATTGCCTATACTCTTTCTTCAACAAAATTAGAGATAAGGGCAAAATAGTTTCTGCTGGGTATTGAGGTGGTGGGGGGGAGAGGGAAGGGGTGGGGTGGGTGGTAAGGGAGGGGGTGGGGGCAGGGGGGGAGAAATGACCCAAGCCTTGTATGCACATATGAATAATAAAACAATAAAAAAAAATCCCATCAATCTCTGCTAACCGTTCACAGCGTGCAGGGTTCCGTGGGGTAGGCGTCGCTGACAAGGAGGTAGCTGTGTGTGCAGGAGGCTCTCTAGAGAATTCCTGGTGTTCAGAGCACAGCCATATTACAACTAGATGGTAAGAGTGCACAGGAACCAGGGAAGGCTTTGTAGAGCTGAGAAATCTGTGTATGTCCCCCACTTAGCCTTTCTAACCATAGTTGATTTAATAACCAGTGACAAGGCTTAAAAGCGACCTATTAATAATAACAATAATAAACCCAACAAGAGCCATGGGACACCTGAGTAGCTGATTCATAAGTCCATTCCTTCTTCTTCCCAGTGCCACAGCTAGACTACATTTCCCAGCCTCCCTTGCAGCTAGCTGTGACATGTGACTGGGGTCTAGTCAATGAAATACAGATGGAAGTGATGTAAATCATTTTCAGTGTGTTCATTATATTCCATTGCTTCTTCTACCTTTACCTGCCAGCCATATTTAGAGGATCCAGAGAAGACTTTGAGGCCCTAAGGTATAATAAGACCACTGATAAGAAGGAGCCCAGGTCCAGAAATGATTACGGGCAGCAAAAATTGCCCTCTGTCCCCACCCCACCCACATGCACATGCATAAGGACCACATCCACTTGTGCAGATGGCAGAAAATGTCCTTATGGGGTTAAGACTGGGGGCCAAAGCTCTCACAGTTAACCTGCCCCAACGTTACCTGCAGGTCTGCCACCTGGTGACGGAACTGGGAATGCGTTCAGATTCTCTCTCTCAGGATGTGGGATGTGGTGGGCAGAGAGGTGGATGTCTAAGCTTAGTCTCTGTCTTTATCCATCCTGTGCGGGACACAGCCCCGCTGAGGGTCTGCTCCTCCTCCTTCATGCATGTGGCCAGGAACAAGAGGGCTTGGGGACTCCTCTAGATGGCACAGTGGCAAGGACATAAAGATGCCATGTTGTCCCTCCGGGAGACACACAGTCAGGGGACACTTTGGAAAAGAATTTGTGTAATACATGCTCACTACACAAGTTCCGACTGGGGCTGTGTCATTTCTTAACATTGTCCTTCAGAGCGAGATTACTTGAAAGAAATAACCTAGTGGGGAAGGAAACATAAAGAATTTATGCTAATGTAACACCAAAAGAAAGAGACTGGTAGTCTCTTGAGAAGAAAGGCAAAAACATCTCTCTTATTTCTCATAGACTAAAAGCAACCTTCCATAATGCTTTTTCATGACTTAAGAACTGAAATAGACCCAGGCTTATTAAGCAGCTAATCAGAAAAGCCTTAAGCCCTGTAGAGATATAAAGGTGACATGGCCACACCTTCAGAGAGTTTGACTCCTAAGTAGAATGACAGACAAAAGACCTTCAAGAAAGAGCTCCAGAATATTATGTATTCATGTGTGTAAATGGAAAAATGAGACCTGGTGAAAGTATTCCAGGGCTGGAGTGGGGAGGGTACAGAAGAATGATGGAGGGGGAGAATTCAGCTATGATATATTGTGAGAACTTATGTAAATGTCACAATGCACCCCCAATACAGAGATAATATAAGAGAAAAAATAAAGGAAGAGTTCCAGGCTAGGCACAGTGGCTCATGCCTGGGAGGATCGGATTTTGAGGCAAGCTCAGGTAAAAAGTTAGTGAGACACATCTCCATCAAAAAGGTGGGCATTGTGGTACACGTCTGTGATCCCAGCTACTCGGGAGGCTGCAGGGGATCACAGTCCAAAACTGACCCCAGGCAAAAACTCAAGACCCTGCCTGGAAAAATAACTAAAGCAAAAAATGAGTGGGGATGTAGCTTAAGTGATAGAACACCTGCCTAGGAAGTGTGAGGCCCTGAGTTCAAACCCCAGTACCACCAAAAAAAGAAAAGAGTGAGCTCCAATAATATGTTTTAGGAAAACAGGAAGAGGAGAGTCATGTCAAGGAAAGAGACGGGGACCTGATAAAGATGGTGGTATCTGGCACTTTTGAGAGAATGAGTAACTGGCAAGAAGCAGGAGAAAGTACTCCCACATGAAGAAAGGCACAGAGACGGTGGTGATCTCCAGAGCCCTGCTCAAGGCCCCTGCTTCCCACCTCCGTTGTGCAGCTGCAGAGCACATCTGAGCCCTGAACCTCCTTGCCACACAGAGGAAGCTGGGATAAGGGTGAGTGCAGAGGGGCCAGCATTCTGTATGCAGAATTCCTCCACGTGGTCCTCAGACCATGGATGGAACCATGTGGACCCAGTCAGTCACCGAGGATTAAACAGTGTACACAGGGGTACAATCCATGGCTAGCTTTCCTGGAAATCACACAGGCATTGAGGAAGGCTTACAAATTCAGGACCCATGGCGATGTACCAGGAGAAACGAGGGGCTGAGATAACCTGAAGAGCATCAATTCTACCCCTGAATGCTAAGTTAGTGTTCATTAGTTTTAAATCACAGTTAACATGGTTCAAGTATATTATAAAATGCATGAATTGAGTGAACTGGTAAAGTACTATGAAAGACTTCTGAGAAATTCAAATTCCCTCACATGCGTACAAATTCATACTCCTCTATCTTCACAATACAGAAAGATTTCTCCCAAGAGATTAAGAATTTGTTTTCCGATTTTTTTGTTTTGTTTTTTGGATTTCTTTTTTTTTTTTTTGTTTTGGTACTGTACTGAGCTTGAAACTCAGGAGCCTCACTGCTTGCTAGGCAGGTGCTCTACCTCTTGAGCCACTCACCAGAGATATGAATTTTTAAACTGCTTGTATGGTTATTAAAATCATATCCAGCACTGCTACAGTGCAAACAGCACTCTGCAGACTCAAAGACAAAAAACTGTTTAGCACTGAGTGCTGTAACACACCAGTTACGTATTGTGCGCTCTGAACGCAGACTCACCCAGGGTTTCAACCAATATAGCAGTTTCTTCACAATGCCCTTTTCTTCACCACTTTCATAAACACCGAGGGCAAGTTCACTGTGACCACAACATGGGAAGACCTTCAGGAATCGCTGCTACAGCCAAACTAATATACCACACATACACAGTATTAAAATGTACATCAAATGGTTATAACAGCAATTTAAACTGGATACTACTAAAATGAAAGATCAATAAAATGCAAATTAATACTGTTGACTCTCAAAAATTGGGCTTCTCAAAAACGAAGGGAAGTTGATTTACTGGATACCCACAAACTGCTAGGACAATTACCGTGGTCAAAGAAGATAGGTTCTGATATAAAAATGCCTAGTTGTGTAAAGCTGGCTTCAAACTTTTCCTTGTGTGACCCTGGGCTACTGGCTACTTTTTAACCCACCTCAATAGTTTAGTTTCCTCATTTATAAAACACGAGTTAAGAGCAAATGTTAACAAAAGCTTATAATCAGGGTTTGTATTAGCACTATTCACAACAGCCAAAACATGGAAACAGGCCAAATATCTATTCATTGATGAATGTATACAATTGTGATATCAGACAATAGAATATCATTCAGCCATGAAAAGGAATAAATACTAATTCATGTTATAACTTAGATTTTTTCGTCGCAACATGTGCCTGGGCTGGCTGAGAAACCTCCATCCTCCTGATCTCTGCCTCACTGATTAGCTAGGATTACAGGCATGAGCCACCAGAGCCCGTTTGTATTAGCACTATTCACAACAGCCAAAACATGGAAACAGGCCAAATATCTATTCATTGATGAATGTATACAATTGTGATATCAGACAATAGAATATCATTCAGCCATGAAAAGGAATAAAGTACTAATTCATGTTATAACTTAGATTGTTCTCGCAGAACAATGTGCCTGGGCTGGCTGGGAACCTCCATCCTCCTGATCTCTGCCTCCTGATTAGCTAGGATTACAGGCATGAGCCACCAGAGCCCGGCCACATGTAGTTTCTTATATAATTTCCTCTACCTCTTTTTGTAACTTGTATTTGTTAGAAATGACATTTCCTAAATTACTCTTCTTTGTTACCTTTATCTCATTATCTCTGATTTTTTTACTCTTTTTTGAGAGACCTGTCCAGCTTTATACTACAGTCATAAAATTGAATTTTTATTTTCAGCCACCATAATCTTAACTTGTAGAAATGCTTTTTGTTCTCTAATCCTTTTCTACAATTAACTGCTCATTTGTCATAGACAGTTTCTTCTGAAAAAAAGATACTTTCTGTGTATTTTTTAATTCCTCTTTTTTTTCTGTTTCACAATCCTTATCCATTTATGTACAAAAATGGAATAGTGAGTTAGTAATTCCAGACATCTAGAGTGAGTTTTCCTTACTGCCATGTTTTATTTTCCTTTCAGATCATTTCAATCTATGGCTTTTGAACTATTCAAGTAAGAGACTAAATTCGTATGGGTTCTGTATAATACCGCCCTTCACTATGAAATGTAAGTGAGTGAGGCAAAAGAGACACTGCCTACAGACAAAGCATTAGAACTTACCTTACACTGATAGTAAACATTTCCAAGATGTCTTTTCCTAGTAACCAGCCAACCAACATGATAATACCTACAACAAAATCAAGTAACTTACTTTTTCCTTTCCAACAAAATTACCTAAGAGGGATAGAATAACAAACTGAAGGCATTCAAAAGGTCCTCAATATAAAGTGTATAATATGCCCTCTAAGCAGGAGAGGTTAAAGTTAATCTTGTTCACGGCATGTGTGCATGGATGCCCATGCTCCCACTTACCCTCAAAACAGTAACGTGGTTCAAGGAAATGGTACCAGCATTTTCATACAATGGAAAAAAGGAGGCAGACCAGTAAGACATAAAAGTTTTCTATTTACCATCAACTTTTGGAAAAAAAAAAAGCTCTAATTTCACTTTTCATAACTCAAATACCAGGCATCACACATTAAGTGTGTACTTCATATGACCAGGCATCACACATTAAGTGTGTACTTCATATGAAGGAACACTTAGAACCTGACTCAAAGTAGGATGCAACTTATTTAGGGACTAAAACTGCACTGACATTTAAAAACTACTACTTCAAAATTTTTGAAAAGCAATTAATACAACCTACGGTTCCTGCTTTAACCTTGTATCTTACAAATAGGGTTATCAATGGTACAAGGAAAAAGAACACAAAGAATCATCAGAGGCTTGATAAAATAGAGCCTCTAAGACTGCACTCTAGATCAAATGTGGACATTTAAAATTAGCTTTCCACCATCTTTATGTATCTATAGAATAATAATCCAGACAGTGACCCTGTAAGATCTTACCCTAAACATTATCCCAATAAAAGGAATTACGTCCAATGAATTATATACTAGGAGTCAATAAGCTATAATCATGGACCTCCTAGCAGTGTATGGCCATAAAGTTAATTAGAACCACATTCATTTATTTCCTCTGTCTGCAGTTGCTTTCATGCTGATGGCAAAGTAGTTCTCACAGAGACTGTAGGGATCATACACCTAAAATACTATGTAGTCATTCACAAAAACAACTCGCTGATCCCTGAACTAGGTCTCAACCCTTACTGTAGTCTATAGTTAGCTCAAAAAAAAATTATGCATAATGCATTATGCTAACATAAAACCAGATAATCATAAGGCTGGAGCACATTTATCATGGAATTTTTGAGGTGGCTTTATCACACTTAATATAAACTAGAAAGATTTAACTGGCTAGAATACCCATCAACTTATCAAGTTCACTATAAATCATCTATAAACAGCAATAATCGAATGAAAGGAACTATGAGAACATACATACCAAAGCTATGTTCATGACAACAACTGATTACATATTTAAAAAACATAAAGAGGCTGGAGGTATGGCTCAAGATGTAAAGTAATCTCTAAAACAACACTTTCATGACTAGAAGGATAAATACTAAAAATGTTTAGATAAATGCTCTCTGCCTATAGGAATTATACAGCTCTACTTTTTTCTATAGTACAAGACAATGGTTCAGGGTTGATTCTGTAATTTTTTTGAAAGTATTAAGCTTGAAGAAAAGCAAATGAACAGACCTAGGATAACACCCTACCCTTCATAGTCAAAGCAGAAAGCCCAGGTAAAAATACAACATATCCATACTCACTCTCCCCTTACCTATTATACCGAAAGAGTAAAAGGACAGCTGTTTTCCTAAGAGGTCCATGCTCTTCTGCAGAGGGGTTTTGGGTGCCTTGACAAATTGGAGAAGAATGTCACCACAATTAGCTGTATCAGGAGCAGAGGTCTCTGCATGCTAAGTTAACCACACAACTCTCCCATAATCTCACTGAGGAAACTGAGGCACAGATTCTAAACAATGCGCAAAGTTTTAGTCAAGAACAAAAAAACTCTCAATTTTGAAAACCCTGTTTTTTTGTTTTTTTGTTTTTATTCTCTTAGCAATTTTCTTTTTTTTTTTTCTTTTATTATTCATATGTGCATACAAGGCTTGGTTCATTTCTCCCCCCTGCCCCCACCCCTCCCTTACCACCCACTCCACCCTCCCGCTCCCCCCCTCAATACCCAGCAGAAACTATTTTCCCCTTATCTCTAATTTTGTTGTAGAGAGAGTATAAGCAATAATAGGAAGGAACAAGGGGTTTTGCTGGTTGAGATAAGGATAGCTATACAGGGCATTGACTCACATTGATTTCCTGTGCGTGGGTGTTACCTTCTAGGTTAATTCTTTTTGATCTAACCTTTTCTCTAGTTCCTGGTCCCCTTTTCCTATTGGCCTCAGTTGCTTTTAAGGTATCTGCTTTAGTTTCTCTGCATTAAGGGCAACAAATGCTAGCTAGTTTTTTAGGTGTCTTACCTATCCTCACTCCACCCTTGTGTGCTCTCGCGTTTTGAACTCTCAATTTTGAAAACCCTGTTTGTTTGAAAAGGTCCACTCTCCCCAGATTGCCCACTTCATGAAAATCTCTTCTCTTCTACCAGCCTCTCTAGGATGCTATTGCCACCAACTGCTGTCCCCTCTGTCCCCATAAACATGTTAGTATCCAGGTCTTTTTATCTGGTGGCTTCCTGACCTGCTACCTTCACTGCCAAGCGGGTTAGAAGGGATTTCCATATTACATCACAAACTGGAGTCTCGGCAAGTTACCTGAGAAATCCAGATGACTGTGCCTTCAGAAGAACATGACATTTGTAGAATACAACTCTTTATATATACATGTGTGTGTGAAGTGTTTTAAATGAGAGAACTCATCTTTAATATTCTTAACAAAAAGCTAGGTTATTTGGCAATCTCACATACACACTTGGAATTACATAATTTGAAATTCCGATAGAACACTGATGGAGTAGCTCACATGCTAGAGCACTTCCTTAGCAAGCATGAGGCCCTGAGTTCAAACCTCAGCACCACAAAAAAAAAAAAGAAAAAGAAGAAAGAAATCTTGGGAGAAGATATGTTTTGGGGTATAAACATATTAATCAGTAACCCTAGGGATCCCCAGCACCAAAACAAAACAAAGCCAATCTCTTAAAAAGAACAAGGTCAATATAAAAATCTGCTATGAACTTCTACTGAAAACAATAGCTAAAGATCAAAAATGCTAACAATATAAATTCAGGCCCCTACAATTACATATTTTCAAATGTATTTTTATATATTTTTAATTTTATGCTTTATTTTTAACATTTTCATATTATAGAAAATGTTTCTAAGTAAACACAACTGCATGGCTAATGAATATTCTTTCAAGACCATATACAACAAACAATCCACCAGTATTTTCCTTTTCTCCATTCTAGAGAAATTCAGATTTCAAAGAAATACATCAACATATTAAGTACTTACTTCTTCTGCTTGCATCATTTTAAAAACCTCCCCAAATTCAGAATTTTCTCCTGTTCCAATGACAATACCCTAAGGGAAAACAAGAAATTCATTTACATTCAGATGGAATCACTCCCAATCAAAGACAAAAATCACCTTTCATTTCCTTTCTTCAAAGTCTTACTACAAACTGACAGACACATCCAAGATTCCCTCAGCAAATTTACTTTTTTAAGTTACTATCATTAATCCTTATACCTCATAATGGAAACCCTGGAAACAAACATTTCATGAAATACTAACAATTCTGATGCCCATTTTTTGCCTATATTATTTCTGAAATTCACATCTTATACTCGATAAAGAAACTTAATGTAATTTCTTGTTCTCTCTTGCTAGGTTATTGAATGATACCTTTCATATTAGTTAAACATTAGAATCCCGGAAAACAAAATAGTTGAAATCCATCAGTGGGTGAACACTATGAGGTCAGACATTATTAGCCAGTAATGTATTCACTAAATTAAAATCATATTAACTACTAATGAACATACACATGAATCACTGTTTCTATCTTTAAAAAGGAACGGATACTGAGGACTCCCCCTTCTCCAGTCCACAGCAGAACTATAGATAATCCTATTTCACATTTTTATATTTCAGGAACGTATCTTCTCTCCAATCTCACAAATAACTGCCAAGGGACAGTTTTTTCAAGTCTGTCTTTTCTTTGTCATATGATTTGAATACACAAAGTGAGCAAGAAAAAAAAAAGAATAGAGAAAACGATTAAAAACAAAAAAACAACTTTTTTCAAAGGAAGAAAGAAAATCACCTTGGCTTTGCCACATCGGACCAGTGTTCCCATGAAGGCAATGTTACTTCTTGTTGTGAGATCTCCATTAGTTGCAGCTGGCTGAGGAGCTGTCACCTTAGAACAAGGGGTTGTCTCTCCTGTCAAGCTAGACTCATCAACAGAGAGATCCACAGCCTTGGGAAACATAAAGCATTCCATAAGTACAAGTTTGTGCTACCTTTGGCATCTCAAAACTTCATAACCATCACTTTTTCCTCAAATATCCCTGCTGCGTTAACTGTATCTTTTCTTTTTTCTTTTTTTTTTTTTGATGGTACTGACATTTGAACTCGGGACCTAATGCTTGCTAGGCAGACACTCTACCACTTGAGCCACTCCCCTAGTTAATTAACTATATTTTGCATTATACCCATTACTCTCAGGCAAAGACCAGAATCAGCACGATCATATTTTTTAAATGAACTCAACCAAATCTGAGACATGCAAAGTACAATGTTCTACCATAAGACTAAGAGTAAAATTCAAAATACAACTAGGGAAATGGAGGTACTAGCTGAGACTCCACCTAAAGAAAACCCAACTTATATAACCAAACAGTGTTTCCTAGTTTTGTCATGCCCCTAACATTCTGGAAATGTATCTGGCAGATTCAAACTACCTGTGACAAAGATAGATAGCTAGATCAATAGATAGATAGATAGATAGATAGATAGATAGATAGATAGATAGATAGATAGATAGATAAAAGGAAACAAGAGATACTGAGACAATCATTTCATATTTGACTCAATTTTCATAAAATTCTTGCTATACATCCCATATTTATTCCAAATTAAAGTTTGCAACAGTCCATGCAGAGACTATCATAGTATCTTCTGACTCTGAAACAGGGTTTGATTCTGAGGGGTTCATTCTCAATACCAACACATTATCATGTATCGTTATCATTTTGTGTGTGGAAAATGCTACAGATGAGAGCTGGCTGTTTCCAAAAGTATAGCACACAGAAGAGTATTTCTCAAAGACATTCATAAACACTGCATGTTATGTCAAAGATGACCAACTGGAGTCAGGCGGTGGTGGCTCACGTCTGTAAACCTAGCTACTCAGGAGGTAGAGATCAGGAGGCTCGTGGTTCAAAGCCAACCCGGCCACATAGTTCTCGAGACCCTATCTCAAAAGAAACCATCACTAAAAAGGGCTGGTGGGATGGCTTAACCCACTGAGTTCAAACCCCAGTACTGCAACAATAACAAAAAAAAGGAGTCCTCTACCCAACCACAAACTAAAGTAAATCTAATAGACTATTACAAGCCCTCCAGGTGATTCTGTTGCACACCCATGGTTAAGAATCAAGTTTCTCAAACTCCCTTGATTCATTTAATTCCAGAAGCTCTTATTCAAAGATCTTAAGAACACTTTTTGGAAAACTGAACACTAACTCATGATTTTAATTATTTTGCGGGCTCTTTTACCTGGCAAACACTCATTTACTACCTTAATAATGTGCCAGACACTAGGCTACGCCCTAGAAAATAAGGAATCTACAGAAGTTAAAATTACCAGGCAATCTCACTAAGTATTCTCATTCCAGCAACTTAATACTCTGAATTTCACATTTTACTTTTCTTTTTTTTTTTTTTTTTTTTTGGAAAAGAGACGGCAGTTGGCTAGCCCTACCACCAAGACCCAATGGCTAATAAATTGTATCATTTTATTGTATTTACTTATTTATTTTTGTAGTGCTGGGAATCAAACCCAGGGCCTACTACTAGGCAAGTACTTTACCCACTGAGCTCAATCACATCTTTTAAAACAGTTCACTTCTTTACAAACTGCTAATAGGTAAATTAGTGCAACCACTATGGAAAGCACTATGGAAGTGCCTTAAAAAACTAAAACTAGAACTACCCCATGATCTTGCTGTAGCACTCCTGGACATACATTTGAAGGAATGTAAGCCAGCATACAATAGAGATAACTGGACATCCTATTTAGAGCAGCACTATTCACAATAGCCAAGCTATGGAATCAGCCTAGGTGTCCATTAGCAGATGAATAGATAAAGAAAAGTGGTATAAATACACAATGGGGTATTATTCAATCATGAAGAATGAAGTTATGTCATTTGAAGAAATATGGATAGAACTTGAGATCATGATGCTAGGCGAAATAAGCCAGACTCATAAAGACAAACACAGCATGTTTTCTTTCATAATATAGAGTCTAGATCCATAAATATGAATAAGCAAAAAGACAAAACCTAATTGAGGGCTATTTGAGGGAAGAGGGGAAAAAGAGACAGTGATGAGGGATGAGTAAGATCAAAGTTCATTATATGCGTATATAGAAATGTAATAATAAAAAATTCATTTATTTATTAATATTAAAAACTTAATAATCTCGTGAACAAAACGAAGTTCCTGCCCTAAGCAATTATTCAGTGACTCTGAAATTAAATAAGCACATATAATATACTATACCAGATAGCAGAAGAAACAAACATAATATGGACAAGGCAACATTTTAGATAGGAGAAAGACAGCTTTGCTCAAAAACAAGTAATCCTTCTGCTGAGCCCTGATAGACTGGAGTGCTCCAAGACTCAGCCAGGATCAGGAAGAAAGGATGTCAGGCAAAGGGAGCAAAAAGTACAAAGACCTTGGGCCAGAACACTAGGTAAACATAGAATTTTGCAGAGATATTAAGATCTACAAGAATAGATCATTATGTTTTAAATCATTCAGCATGAAAATCAATTATATCATATAACTACAAAAAGATAAATTGTGTCAGCATTTCCCAAAAGTTTAGCTACAAGGGCAATATGATGCATTTTATGTCAAACTTGGCTGAAATCAGTGGCCTAGCTCTACAGTTTTTAGCCATAATAAACCAGGAGCAATATTAGAGAATTTTTAGTTAAAGCAGGCTATTCTACAGAAAAGAGGCAGACCATTTATAGCACAACAGCAGTCAGCCTTGTCTAGTGTAAAAGATAAGCTAATATAACAGAAAATAGGGGTTTGGGACTCTTGCTGATTTTTTCTGTATAATTAAAAAATTGTAAACTAAACTCAATTATCAAAAACATGTAAGTAATGAAATTTGTCTAAATTATATAATGGCCCAAACTGCAAAGATCAACTGTCTGTAGAACAAAAATATTCTTAAGTTACAAGTTATTTTCTCTTAACAGTACTTATAAAATTTTTCACAAGAAAGCAGTTTTTGGGAAAAGAGGGAGGAAGGTTGTCATTTCTAACAAGAGTGGCTATTTAGTAAATTAGGCAAGCCTATTAGAGCTTAACAAAATCACAATTTAATTCATCTGAGAATATACTAAAGTCGTTTATCCATTGCATCCATGAGAGGGAAAGACAAAATGAAATCAAAGAACCAAGCAGCCCCAAAAGTTTAAGCATTAAACTTTCAGAAGAGCTGTTTATGAATAGGGAAACTGATTTTACTTTCACTCTTCTTCAGGCATCTTGGTTGAAGTGTGAGTAAGATACAATACAGTTCTAAAATCAGAATATAGTGACAGGACACATATATAATCCACAAACTGAAGATTTACCACCCACCTGATAAAAAGAATTAGAAAAGTTTACAAGATTATTATTACCATTAAGACCTTAGGCAGAAAGCAAGCAAATGCCAGTCACAAAGTTTCCCTGAAAGGCAGAAAGTGACTACATAAAAAACTAAGGTTAGCTTAAAGGAATGAAGGACAAGAAGATAGAACAGGTTCTGTCTGGAGGTGGGTATCAGTGAGGGGGGGGAGGGCAAAAGGAGAAGGACAACATCTAAGATCGGGGTATATGGTGGATGTGTTTTGCATTCCTGTATGAAAACAGAACAATGAAACCTGTTGAAATTGTTCTAAGAAAGGCAGAGAAGGATGAATTAATAAAGAATAACTGTAATAGACACCCACCTGATAAAAAGAATTAGAAATTTACAAGATTATTATTACCATTAAGACCTTAGGCAGAAAGCAAGCAAATGCCAGTCACAAAGTTCCCTGAAAGGCAGAAAAGTGACTACATAAAAAACTAAGGTTAGCTTAAAGGAATGAAGGACAAGAGATAGAAACAGGTTCTGTCTGGAGGTGGGTATCAGTGAGGGGGGGGGAGGGCAAAAGGAGAAGGACAACATCTAAGATCGGGGTATATGGTGGATGTGTTTTGCATTCCTGTATGAAAACAGAACAATGAAACCTGTTGAAATTGTTCTAAGAAAGGCAGAGAGGATGAATCTAATAAAGATACACTGTAATAGACAACAATAAAGAAGAAAACTGCCAGGATATGGAAAACCTCAGAAAAAAGAACGAAACAGAACTGCAAAACAAAATGGAAGGCCAATCCAGCAGAATAGAACAAACAGAAGACAGAATCTCAGAACTTGAAGATGAAATGGTAATTAAAGGAAAAACCGAAGAACTATTAATTAAACAACTCAAGACCTGTGAAAAGAAAATGCAAGAACTCACTGACTCCATCAAAAGACCAAACTTGAGAATCATGGGCATCGAAGAAGGAGAAGAGGTGCAAGCGAAGGGAATGCGTAATATATTCAACAAAATAATAATGGAAAATTTCCCAAATCTAGAGAAAGATATTCCCATACAGATGCAAGAGGCCTCCAGGACACCAAACAGACCAGATCAAAATAGAACTACTCCATGACATATCATCATTAAAACAAAAGTTCAGAAACTAAGGAAAGAATATTGAAGGCTGTAAGAGAGAAAAAACAAGTAACATACAAAGGTAAACCCATCAAAATCACAGCAGACTTCTCAACAGAAACATTAAAAGCAAGAAGAGCGTGGGGTGAGATCTTCCGGCACTGAATGAAATAACTTCAACCCCAGGATACTCTACCCAGCAAAACTATCATTCAAAATAGATGGAGCAATAAAAGTCTTCCATGATAAGCAGAAACTAAAACAATATGTGACACAAAGCCACCATACAAAAGATTCTTCAAGGGATTCTGCACACAGAAAGTGACACCCAACTTAACCATGAAAAGGCAGGCAGCACCAAACACAGGAAAAGAAAAAGCAAGACAGTAGAGAGTAACATCAACTTAGGTACACACAATCAAACCTTCAAACAACTAAGACAACTAAATGACAGGAATCACCACATACCTATCAGTACTAACTTAATGTTAATGGACTTAATTCACCCATCAAAAGCACCGTTTGACAAAATGGATTAAAAAGAAGATCCAACAATTTGTTGCTTACAGGAGACCATCTCACGACAGAAATAAGCATATGCTTA